CTCCAAGTTACTTCAGTGAAGGGAAGGGGTACCTTGCTGAATCGCACCAACTTCGGCCTAAAGATGACTCGTCCTCAAGTTCGCCTCCTCCCACACGACCTGCCAATCCTTTGCGCCTTTGGAATAATAAGAATCTTTTGGTTTGCACGTCAAGTCGTCCCCTTCTGCCTAGCATGGTTGAATTCAAGATCTGCAAAGAAGAAACACAACAAAGCTTTAGTAATCGAAGCATGAATAAAGACAAATTTTTCACCAGTCACTTGCCCGGTGTAAGGAATCTTGCCCTGGCCTCTCTCCCTAAAGACTGTTCAGCCTCAAAAAGAAAAAAACGTCATTCCAATTTTTATCACTCGACCGAAGGTCAGTCACGAGGTGAGCCCTATCGTGCCGTGATTGATCAGATATTGGCCTTATCCTTGTCTTTTTCTTTGAAAAATATGGGATAACAGCCGTGCAGCTCGAACACACTTGAGTCCACACATAGAGGTCTTCTAAAGCATCAACAAACTCCACCCATTTGGCATAAGCCGGTCGGCATAACATGAAATGGTTCAAGACCCCTAGACAAGAGGAGGGATATAAAGCCTACGCCGTACAGAAACATTCTCATAGGTGCTCACCCAACCTTTTGCCTCCAGTTGACACTTTCGTATGACTTTGGCACCCTAATTTTGATAGACTATGGGATATGGTACATTGTCCTGACGCCATGCACTCTTCTATAATAAGGGCGGATAGTCTCTACTTAATATCCTGCTACCAGGTTGACTCGGGTCGTTCTCGGAAAACTGCTGGTGAAGGGCAAACTCTCAGAATCATAAACTTCATTGGAGTCTTCCCAACATCCCTTGCCTATGCGACTCACCATCACTCGGGATGGCCATACTTAGCCTAGGGCCGACCACTTTCACCCCTGGGTATACCTACTGGAATGCTTCACTCTCTGGCATCATCACCATCGTTGGGGCATTCTCATACTTATTCCCAACTTCCGTCTCCACCCCACTCAAGTTGCTCGACTCTGACCGCAACATTGAACTCTTTGTCCACTCGACCTTGGCAACTGACCGACTTTCAATTCCAAGTCAAACTCTGTTCCAGAAGACCCACTTGCCAGAGCTACCGATCGATTGGTTCTCAAATTAGTTTAACTCTCCAACCTCCAAGTAACTTTCAGCTCGGTCTGGGCGATGAATACCTGCTTCCTTAGGACACCAGTGTAGATCCCTACCACTCGGTTGGAGACTGGGCGACCAAGTAACCAGCCTTACCAAAAACCACGCTTTTCAATCGAAGTACTGCACTCGACCCGGTCAAGCAGACTGAGACGAGCCAAATAGGAAACCAGCGTAAACTGATTTCATCTTCTACCTTCCCCAAACCTAGAATCTTTGAACCTAAACGAAAATTTTCATGTTTTCTTATTCACCCCAAACTTCAAACTAAACAAACAGTCGCCACGAATTTACCCCACCCCAAAATGAAGAAACACACACTTCCCGTTTTTTCAAAACCTTTCAAAAAGTAAAGGAAACTTACCAAATCCCACTTAATGTCTCCAAAAATACTACACAAACAAAGAGAAGAAGAAAGAAACACAAAGCAGTGCAAAAAACTAGTGTTACCATGAAAATGGCTGGAATCCACGAAAGAATGTCCATCGCTTTGAAAAAACTTGAAAGAGGAAGAAAATGCAAAGAAAGAGAAATGAGAGATGAAATGAAGATGCACAGTTCCTCCTCGATTTTATGGACAAAGGCTTGCAAAAGAGACATGTGGTGGCTGTATTGGTTATGGAACAAAGGCTTTCGTTTTTCGCCCAAATTGAGGAGCAATCTCCACTACACACGTGTAGCGAATCCGCAAGCACTCAAAAGACGTGACTACATGCACACCCCCACTTAATCGCTCAGCCAACCCGACCGAGTAGGCGTGTTAGCATAAAAGTTATTCATTTCCTACAGACAAGCAAACACATTCTATCACTTCACACCCATTTAGTCGGCCCTCCTGACCAAACAGAATGATCAGAAGTATTACCCCGACCCTTAGGTCGTCACAAACCTCGCAATAAGTTACAAAGCACCCAGTTACTCGGTTTGCTTGACCAAACGAGCCAATCGCAAGTGGGAAAGTGTGCATACACCTTTTTGTTTGATTTGACTACTCAGCTAAGGCACCACCACTAGAATGACCTAACGCATTCCACTCAGCTCAATATACCGAGTAAGCAAACCTTCATGGAATAACTCGCATCTCTCGCTCGACTCGATACATTGGGTGAGAACAATTTGTAGGACGTTTCACAAATCTTCTCCCCTCGACTCGATCTAAGATAATCACACTTCATGGGATAGCTCGCATGCCCTTCACTTGGCTCGTTACACCGAGTTAGGATACCTCATAGGACAGCTCGCACACGCACTCACTCACTTGGCTTGTTACATTGAGTGAGGACACCTTTATGGGACAGCTCGCACCCATTCACTCGGCTCGAATGCCAAGTGAAGACACCTCATGGGACGTTTGCATTCTTCCCACTCGGTGCGACTACCGAGTGAGGATACCTCTAGCATATTTTTCCATGCTTCCCTCGATCCGATGATCGGGCGCGTATCTCAAGGTCAACTCCACTCCCTCACTGGGTCAGATACGCCGAGTGAAAGCACGACGTGTTTCACTTCCACCGCTCAGCCTGGTGTACCGAACGCACACCTATAACAAACGCTATGCTATTCATTACCGCGAATAGTGGAGAGCACGTTCATATGTTAAGCCAGTGGTCGCGAAGGTTCTAGGTACACCTCCACGCAACGTCCACTCTCTAAGCTAAGCACTCCTTAACTAAAGAGTTTTTTTTTTTTTTTTTTTTTTTTTTCGGGGGGAACTATTAGGGCCAAAAAAGTCCCAAAGACGAAGACACCTTCAACAAAGCTCGAAGATGGGCCCAATTCCGATTGGGCTCAACAGGGTTTGCATGTCAGGTCTGTTCGGTAAACCTACCCAATTGCTCACCATTTGGACCCAATCAGTAATTTAGGCTCATTGCCATTATCTGGCCCAAGCCCTTGTCCTAGACCACTCTCTAGTTAGGATCTACTCGAAGCCTAGGGTCACATTTACCCCGGTATTACCCAACTCTATTGAAGAGTCCATCATACCCTAATTGTTTAAGATTGTGGTCTTAGACCCGTTGAGACTCTCTTTCCCCACTAAGGTAAGGGAACCAAAGGTTCTTTCTTTTCACGAAACCTCAACTCCAAGGATCACAGTCCTACTAGGATTTGAGATCTACAATCACTATTTAAATAAAGGCCAACCCTTTCACAAGGGACAAACATTACACCTTCAGACCCCGCAATTCTCGCTCCGAGAATTTCGCATCACAGTCGTAGTTATAGTCTCAACTAGACTTTTGGTAACCTTCTCTCTCCCTAACCCTCACTAAATTAGCCTCATTTGGCCTTGTGACTTGAATGTCAGAGTGCCTATGGCAAACACACCTAGTGTTTCCCGTTCCCATCACGCTTGTTTTCTTGCGTGTACAGATACAACAGATTAATAGTGGCCTTAACCACAGGATCAGTCCCATTTTCGTAAAGGTAGATTTTTTTTTGCGTCTACAATAAGATAATAAGCCACTGTAGTTAAATAATTGATTTGTATTTAAATAAATAAAATAAAAACAACTAAAAGGATTTACTATCCATTTTAATAATATGTTTAATATTCTTATAAGATTATCTAAAAGAATTTTGTTAGATAAAACATGAATTTAATAGCATCAGTCTTACATCACGAACAAATTCTTGTTGGTGAAGATTTAGAAAGAATGGCTTCTAGATGATTATGTATAAACTTGTTATTTAATCTAATCCCCATACTACGTATTGATTCGTATATTCGATGGAGATAGGGATTCTTTAAAGGCCGAAAGAAATCTTTCTTAAAGACACTTTTTACCCAAAAATTTGAAAACGATAATTACCCATTTTTCGTCTAAATCTGAAGGGGCTGTTTGGTTGGGGGTTATCTCCTGATGAGTAATGCATCTATTACTTTACTATTATATTGGTTGTCAAGTAATATACGATTCCGATAATCTTTCAAAACCAAGTAATCATTGTTAGTTATTGAGTGGTAATCAGAATACCACCATTTTTTTTGATATTCTGAGATTATTGGTAATCTTATTCTTGTTACAATTTTACCCCTTATTAATAAATTTTAGGACAATATGCCCCTGTGATCTAAACAATTTACAAGAATTTTATGGACAATTTTAGCCTTATACTAAATATTTGTAAGACAGAATTACCTTTGTACTTCAACCAAATTACTAGATCTAGCCATCCCAGCACCCAGAGGATTGCTTGCGTTGGCCACCATCGTTGGTGGCCACCGTAAGCACAACGGCACACGACCAACTGGATAGGTTGGCCATGCGTGGTGAGGCCGTTTCTTCAAATTTGTGGCTGTTTAACAACTAAAGATGTGGCCGTGAAAATGCTAGATTTATCATTTCTAAATGACCTTGGCGCACGACCAACTAGATTCGGCCATTGTACGCCGTCTATGCGACGGCCGACAGTGGGTGGCTGGGGTGTTTTTGTTAAGTTTTAAATATTTTTATTATTGGGGTGCTGTAGCTAAATTTGAAATGTTAGGGTTAAATAAAAATATAAATTAATTGTAATATTAAAACATAAGGACATTTAATAATCTAACCCTAAAATGTAATATACCCACCAATTTATTCCTCCAAACCGAACATATCATATAACAATACTCTCCAATTTATATTTATCTAACCAAACATAATTTAATGAGATTCCGAGTAATCTTCAAAGTTATCTTTTTTATATTAATATAACATTCTTAGTAAATAACGCTCCCTGAATCAAATGCCTTTAGCAAACTGGATCCAAATCTGTTTATTTTCCACAGTCAAGATCAAGTAATGTATGTCTTAGTATATGTGGATGATATACTCTTGACAGGAAATACTCCACAGCTGATTCAAGACACTGTCCAGAAGCTTAACACTCAATTTGCTTTGAAAATTCTTGGCTCTTTAAAATACTTTTTGGGTTTTGAGGTTACCCGAGATGCATCTGGTCTTTACATGAATCAAGAAAAGTATGCAAAGGACATTCTCATGAAAACCAAAATGGTTGATTGCAAACCATGTTCTACTCCAATGGCAGTTGGCTCTAAACTCACCCCTGATGACAGTGATCCATTTGACAATCCTGCTCTTTACCGCAGTACCATTGGAGCCTTGCAATATCTTATCCTATCCAGACCAGACATTGCTTATTCAATTAACAAACTGAGCCAGTTTTTAAAGGCACCAACACAGCTCCACTGGCAGGCTTGTAAGAGGCTTCTGAGATATATTAAAGGAACTTCTAATTATGGAGTTCACTTCACTAAAAGTCACATGTTTCAGCTGGAGTGTTTCACTAATGCTGATTGGGCCAGCAGCTTGCATGACAGAAGATCAACCAGTGGCTGCTGTGTGTTCCTTGGATCCAACTTAATTCAGTGGTTTTCTAGAAAACAAAGAGTTATTGCTATGTCATCTACTGAAGCAGAGTATCGAGCTCTTGCACAAGGATCAACTGAGATTGTCTGGTTTTGCAGTCTGTTCACTAAGCTTGGACTACATTATGGTATTCCTATCATTTGGTGTGACAACCAGAGTGCTGGTTCCTTAGCCTCAAATCATGTGTTTCATGGCAGGACAAAACACATTGAGCTTGATGCTCATTATCTGGGAAATCAAGTTATTGACAACAAACTGAAAGTTCAGTATGTTCCTACTGAATTTCAGAAGGCAGATGTTCTTGCTAAAGCATTGCCAGCTTCCAAGTTTGTAACATTTCGAGATGTCAAAGCTACTCCATCAGTCTCATCAATCTACTGCAGATGTTCTGTGTTACTTTTGCAGGGTTAAAAATCATGTTGTTCTGGAGTTTAGTCTTGAAGGTTGACCATTTGTTTAATGGTTGTTGAAGCTGTCAGCTTGTGCTTTCAGAAGTGTTGAGTGTTAATTTCAGAAGTTCAGATTAAGTACTGGAGTTTGCAAGGTTAAAAATCATGTTGTTCTTGAGTTTAGTTTTGAAGGTTGACCATTTGTTTAATGGTTGTTGAAGTTGTCACTGTTTAATGTTTGTTGAAGCTGTCAGCTTGTGCTTTCAGAAGTGTTGAGTGTTATTTTTTTTGCTGGTTGGTGAAGTTTGCTTTGAAGTTTGAATCTACTGAATTTGCTGAGTTGAAGCTGGTTTTGGAGGTTTCAGAAGTGTTGAGTATTGCTTTTAATAGTTGGTGATATTCTGTTTTTGGGTTTCAGTTGAAGTTGTTTGATGTTTCAGAAGAGTTGAATGTTGAATTTTGCTGAAGCATTGAATGTTGAGTTGAAGATGACTTGAAGTTTTAGTAGTGCAGAATTGGAAGATTGTTGCAGTGTCTGTGTGCTAGTTTAGTACTACGTATGCTGTTGCATTGTCAGTTTGGCTGCTGATTGTTCTATTGAAAATATTGTTGCTGTTGAAAGCTGTCAGCTTGTGCTGCTAGTTCTGATGATTCAGTGCTAATCTTGATGGTTGATTCCATGTTGCAGTAATGGAGATTAGTACTGTGATTGTTGGTTTTTTTTGCTGGGTTTAATGATCCTGTGCTCCTTGAGTACTAAAATCTCAGTTGTCAAAACAACTAGATTATGGAAGTTTGGTTTAAGGGAAGATGTTAGGATTAGTGTATCAAATGGTTCATACCTATGGGAGTTTGGTTTAACGGAAGATGTTAGGATTAGTGTATATAGTGATTCATGATGTTTAGGTTACTAATAAGTGACTTTAGCCTAAGCTGTAGATTGTAATTTGTTACTTACACGTGTATTGTTGCAAGTTGCAATTGTTACTCACGTGTATTAGGCTTGTATATATAAATGAGCTTGTAACCTTTTTCAGTTAGTTAGTAAGAAAGCAACAGTAAACAACTTTACTCTCTTAGTTTTTCCCTCTCAATTTTCATTCGCAACTCCTATTATTAATGGGATTGTAAGTGAACTGTTAAAATTTAAATTGTTAATAAATATTACCAAATTAACTTTTTACTGTTTATTTTAATAGTAAAACTACACTTACAACTTTTTTATACTACATTTTTTTATAACCCTGAGATAACAACTCGTGATTGATTAGTTTGCATTTAGATAGATGAGACTCATTATGAGTTGACCAATCGTGAGCTGCTACATTAGAGTTGTATGAAAAATTTGTAAGTGTAATGTTGCTCTTATTTTAATACTAAAAATTTAACCTTAGAAGGATTGTTGTTATTTCTTAAACCTTAAAGAGATTTTGTTATTTTATCATATCTCAAGGGTTAGTGTCATTAACTTTTTTTCTTTATTTCATTTTAAAATTTTGGTAGACCCTGAAAAATAATTTTCTGGTTTCACCCTGGATCGAGGTTCTTTTATTAGAGGAATATAAAAATACTAGACAACCCTCTTTAAATTAAAAAATTACTAAAATACTTGAATTCCTATCAAGGGACCTAAATGTGGTATTTTCTGATTTATAGGGGTCATAGGAATTATTAGTTACTGAAGTGTTTTCTTATTCTAGTGGACGACTTGGGTCTTCATCTTCTTCTCTTCATAAGAGCTTTGGATTTTCTTCCTATTCAATCAAACGCATGGATCTCCATTTGTTCAAGGCAGCAGTTGAAGGCAACGTCGAACCCTTCAGCGGCAACCATCAAAATCTTGAACAAGTAGTAACACACTTAAGAGACACCATTTTGCATGTCAACATCAAGTGCCAAAATGAAGCAATGGCGTCCACCATATTCGTTGATCAAATACTCACCAGATGCCCATCACTTTCATTGCAAGTCAATGCCAATGGCGATACTCCCCTTCACGTTGCAGCTAAATGCGGGAACTCGACTATGGTGGAAGTTCTTTTTAGGCATTCAAAGGCTCAACCTGGAACCTCACAGAGTGGCGGGTTGAATCCTGTGTGGGAGATGTTGAAGATGACTAATAAGGAAGAAAACGCAGCGTTGCATGAGGCAGTGCAGTATGGAAGCTTGGAAGTGGTGAAGGTTTTAACGAGAGAAGGTGATCCTGATTTTTCTTACTCTGCTAATAGTTATGGGGAAACCCCACTTTACCTTGCTGCAGCTAGAGGATCTCCGGAGATGGTGGTTGCAATATTAGGAAGCTGCAGAGCGGTGGCCCACGAAGGACCCGGTGGAAAGACAGCTTTGCACGCGGCAGCCATGAGCAGAAATTCTGGTGAGTTTATTCTGGTTCAAATTGTTGTTATCATCAAATTATTATAGCAAAAGAGAGGAAGATGAATTTCAGAGAAATTGTTGTGTTGTGCCTTGAAACAATCTGTTGAGTAGGTAATGCTCTGATCATGGATCAATTTGCAAGTTTTTCTTGAGAAGGAATCGATTGAAACCTAGTAATCCGTTCATCGACAATCTAGCAGGCAAAATAAGTTGGACTAGTATTATCACAAGGAATCAAAATGGTAACTGAGAGTGGAAGATGAGATTCCTTAAAAAAATATTTAGTCCAAGAAATTTCAGCAGCCTAGATTAGCCAGCCGGTTATACTTTTATTGGTCGCATGAACAAGATACATAGGCGTAGGAAGTGGTTTGAATTCATTCATGTGGAAACATATATGAGTCAGAAAGTTTTATTATGTTTTGTCTAAATGAGATGCAAGGTTGTAGATAGTCGAGGTTAAATAGTTTGATTTTGTGTGAAATGTTAATTAATCCGGGTTTGAGGGATTTAAGTAAGCATAGATTTAATCCTCGGATCTCTTACTTCTAATACAAGAGATCAACCCAATTAACAGGTTCTCGTCCCTTGTGGATGTATGTAATATGCAATCGCCTGCAGAAAATTTGTTCACCATCCTATTTAACGTTTATTGTACATGTTTTATATAGTTTTTAAGAAGCCCAAGGCTGTATTCCAATTTTTATATCCAAGTAATATGACATTATTTGATTAGTTATGTTATGTAAATGATGAAATGAGATCTCGTAGGATATCATCACTTGGGAGATGATAACTGATATACAAATTGGGATGTATAATATTATTTATTATTTATTGTTGCCTTTTTTGTCTCAGGAACCGCGAGAGAAATACTAGAGAAAAAAAAGTGTTTGACAAAAGAAACGGACCAATATGGGTGGACTCCACTTCATTATGCTGCATATTACAATCTTACTTTAAATACAGAAGTCTTATTAGAATTTGATGAATCTGCTGCATTCATACCTGACAAGGATCGTAAAATGACACCTCTTCATGTGGCTAGCAGTCAAGGGTGTCTAAAGGTAATAGAAAAAATTCTTCTTCATTCTCCACAATGTTATGAACTGGTGGATAATAGAGGTTGGAATTTCCTTCACTTTGCTATGGTGAGTTTGCATGAAAAAGATGTGGATGTTCTCCAACAAAATCCACTAGTTAGGAGTCTTATACATCATAAGGATGCCAAGGGGAACACTCCTCTCCATGTTCTTGCAGCTTCAAAACGAAATTATTCATTCGAGCTCAACAGTATCAACTTGAAGCATAAAAGCAGCCTTCGGGTTATCAATAGGCAAAATATTAGTGTCGAACATATATTGAGCTATGGCTTTCCAGAGCTTGAGGTAATAGTCAGTGTCTTCACTAAGTATTAGCACATAGAATCATTCTCTAATGCAAACATCCACATTTTTTCAAAATCCAGATCACATCTACTGATACTGGTAAAAAGAAAACTGGATTATGAGAAAATACGATGGTATGCATTTGAGGATTTTTGTTAATATATATGTATGCAATGCAATGTTATGACTTGAAATTGTAATTTTTCCTTGATTTAATTAATTTAATTACTTACTGTTTTTTTTTTAATTGATTTACTGATCCAAAACAGCAAGAAATTCAAGCATTGACCCAAGAGGTTTGCAATGGACAACGTCCAAGAGGTGTTATCTGTAGTAGCAGAGAACCCCTCAGTGAAGATTTACTTGGAGTGGAGAAAGCAAGAGAACCGCATTTGGTAGTGGCTGCGCTCATAGCAACAGTAACCTTCGCGGCAGGTTTCACCATGCCTGGTGGTTACCAAAGCGAAAAAGGTCAGGATCAAGGTACTGCAATCCTAAGTAGAAAGTCAGCTTTTCAATTTTTTATTGTAGCGGATTCCATCGCCATGAGCCTCTCTGTTTCTTCTGTCTTTATTCACTTTGTCATGTCGTTAAAGTTTCTCCAAAACTTAGTGTCTCTCTTCTTTATTGCACATTACCTTACCGTGTTTGCCATGGTAGCAATGGTGTTTGCTTTCATTAGTGGCACTTGGGCTGTTTTGCCACCCTCTGTGGGGCTTGGTACTGCCATTATGTTTATTTGCTTAAACCCCATCGCCCTTGTGTCAGCCTTAGCCATGAGGGAGAAAGAAGCCAACGACGAGGCGAGGAAACAAAAGTTACTTAACATGTAGAAGATAGTGCCAGCAAATTTTTGTCTTTAGTGTTACAGTAAATTGTGTTTTTTTTTTTTCTTTTTATCTTCAGTGTCAGATAGTGCCAGTAAATCCTTTACTAAACGAGGTTTGTATTTTTAAATATAAAATGGTGGTAAGATTACTACTTATTGTGCCTCTATCTACTAGATTATATATGTTACCAATTATTACAGTATAACATATAAATCCTTCAAATTTGTGCAAACCCACACTGTTTACTATGTCAATATCATTTAATTAGATATAACCAGTATCAATATTAAAATTTAATATATTATCGTCAAATATTATGTACTAAAATATCGCTATGGTATCGTTACAATTAGTAACATATAATATGATCAAATTTGAAAGTAGATTATAATTAGTTTCGTTACTAGCAATTTTTGGACAATTTTATAATTTCTTGTATATATAATTGATTGGTGTCATTATTTGAAAATAGAACGAGAGCCAGCAGTTAACTTTAATGCAGAAACACCCATAAGTAATTCTATATTACTCTTTGTTCTTTGATTTTTGAGAGTCTTTATGTCATGATTACTGTAAAATCTAGCCAATCTGGCATTGTGAAATGCTCCATTGATAATTTTTTAAGGGAGCATTTGGTTTAGGAATGTTAGATTACTGGGAATGTTGGATTACTGGAAAGATAGATTACCTTGGAAGATTACTGGGAATCTTTAGGAAAACATGTTTGCTTAGTTGGTGGGTATGTTATATTAATATGTTTGGTTATGGGAAATAAATTGGTGGATATGTTATTTAAATTACTAAATTGTCTCCCTTTTAAATATTAATATAATATTATTTTTATTATTAATTTTTGAATAATTTTTTTAACCCCCAATATTTCAGATTTAGCTAAAATACTCCCGCTTATATAAAACTTTAATTTATGATGAAATCACCCCCACCTCCTGCCACCACCGCAAACCACCGTCGGATATCTCCGAAAGTCCCTGTAAGTACCTCACCGTGACCAAGAGGCTCTGATATGGCCGTTTCTGGCCATATTGATGGCCAAAAATGGCCATATCAGGCCAAATCTATTCTGGCCATTTTCAGCTAGATCTGGGCGAGATCTGACCATTAACAACCATGGACCTGGATATTAACAGCCAGATCTCGCCCAGACCTGGCCATTAATGACCAGGGATCTGGCCGTTAACGGCCAGTTCCATCGATCTGGCAAAAAATGGCTAGAATAGATTTGAGTATTTCCGGCCAGATTTGGCCTGATATGGCCGTTTTCGGCCATCAATATGGTCAGAAACGGCCATAGCGAAGACTCCCAGAGCCTCCCACCGAATTTCGTTCTTTTTTAGGGACTCTGGTGATTTTCTGGCAGCGGTCCATGGTGGTTGGCCCGTTGTCGGCGGTGGTGGCTAGGTAGCAGTGGTGGTGCCGTTGTCGGCGGTGGTGGCTAGGTAGCAGTGGTGGTGGTGGTTCGGTGGCAGTGGTGGTCTGTAAATTATTTTAAATATAAGGGCATTATTGTCCAAAATTTTAATTAAACAAGGGTAAAATTGAAATAGGATATTAATGTAAATTTGTTTTAAAGTAGGGGTATTATTGTCCAAAACTTTTATTAATAAGGGATAAAATTGTAACAAAAAAAAAATAACCCTAGTAATCTCAGAATACCTAAGAAAATAGAGATAATCAGATTACCTCCAATATTACCAATAGTAACTACTATTGGTATTTGAAGATTACCAGAATCTTATATTACTTGACAACCAAACATGGTAATTAAGTAATATAAGATGACATTACCCCAATAATCTGACATTACTGCCAACCAAACGCCCTCTAAGAGTATTTATGACTCTTTAGCCTCTATCTACTTGGGCTTTCTGTAGTGATATCTATTTTACCAATGGGCTAGTAGATTACAGGAATGCTCTGTACATCTCCTCTCTTTGGAAGTACAGCACTAAGGTTCTTTTTCAGATAAGAGTTTACAAATGGTGAAATGGGTACATTTAAGAATAAAGTTGGGATATACATAGAGATTCACTATATATGTATAATTTTTTTTTTTTTTTAATAATTGAATTGTCAAGACCAACTTACGTATACCTCAACTAATCCTCAGTGGGGGCTATCCCACAGCAATTCACTATCATAGCTCCCCAGGTAAATCGTGAGGAGTTATATATGTATAAATTATCTCTCATGTAATTGTAAAACCTGAACAAAAAATATGCAAACAATTCATACTTAAAAAGAGTACTTTAAAGTTTAAACCCTTCGTTTATGAATTTGTTTTGAGTTCTACATGAAAATTGGAAAGAATTAACTAAAAAAAAAAAAAAAAAAAAAGATTATGTATTTTCGAAGTTTGAAAAGGCTTTCGATATATATATAATATATATATATATATATAATATATATATATAATATCATATATATGTGTGGGTGTGTGTGTGTGTGTGTGTGTGTGTGTGTGTGTGTGTGTGTGTTTAAAATCATTATTAAAAATTTTATAATTATATAGTGAATTATATATATATATATATATATATGTGTGTGTGTGTGTGTGTGTGTGTGTGTGTGTGTGTGTGTGTTTAAAATCATTATTAAAAATTTTATAATTATATAGTGAATTGTTTATTCAAATTCCATAAATATAAATGTGGCAACAAGAGAGACTTGTATGAATGTTAAATTAATTAAATAAAGCCTCCAAACTAGACTTCTCTCACTTTTTTATCTCTTGAAAATTAAACCTCCTACCCTCTTTAGTCTACTTAAAATATACAACATTGATTCTTTTGAGAATCAAAATTAAAAAAAAAAATCAATGGTTTTATATTAAAAAAAAGATTCAAATTCATGGGAAAAACAATGTTCACAGCACCCACAAAATGTCAAAAAAAGTGATTCCAATTGATTCATGGGTCAAAGTCTTATTCTATCAAAAAAAAAAAAAAAAAAAAGGATAAAAAAAATGAACTAAGAAAAGTAGTTAGGCTAACTTCTTTCTTAATTCTTAGTCCCCTTTATTGGGTTGAAAGTTTGAGGACCAAATTAAAAGTGGGTTGTAATAAATGTGTTTGAAAGTGTTTTTTGTTTCGCAGAAAGTGTTTTTTGTTTTGTAGAAAGTGTTTTCAAATAGTTAAAAACACTTAAATATTTCCTATGCTCTTTTTGTAATGTTTTGATTGAAATTGGGAAAGTTGCTTTCTATGTTCATGAAAGCACTTGTAGTGATCTTTTCTTTTTGTTTTGAAATTCATGTGATATCTATCTTTTCAAAAAGTGATTTAACCTAACCTTTTTTTGAATTGCAATCAAATAATAATACAATTTTTTTTCAATCCCAAGGCGTTAACTTGCCGGTTGCTCTCTTACTTGAGTTTCTGGGTTCAAACCTTAGGATCACCTACCACAATAACATTGTGACTTACATGATCCTTTAGGTTTATAAAGTGTTCAATGAACCTTAGAGATTATTTTAGGTATGCGTAAGCTGGTTCGGATATCCCGGTTACCAAAAAAATAATAATACAATTTTTTTTAGAAGAGTTCTTGATATTAGAATAGTTCTTTTAACTAGTAAATAAGTCTAACCAAACCGACGCCAATTCTACTAAATAGCAGCTTGATACTGTAAGGAAACACATAAAATTCAAAAGGAAAACAAAGAGACTTCCCACCATATAATATTTGTGAAAAAAAGAAAATATGAACAAGTATGAAAGCAACTTTCTTAATCTTAGAATATTGCAAATTTGCAAATATTTTTTTGTACATGTATGCAAGGACCACAAAATGGTCCATGTGTATATTCTATAGAGACGACGTGAATAAAAAAATATGAAACTAAACTATAGAAAATATCATAATTTATTTTTCATGGGATGCTTTCCAAATTCTTGTTTTCCTTTGCATTTGGAAGTATACATCAATTGTTTTTATATATCAATGGTTTAGATCTTCAAAATTATATGATGAAGTTTTTCATAGTTATAGTGGAGAAATTTTTATAGACCCCCTAGGTTTTGTTTCAAAAATCTAAAAGATTAGCAGGTTTTAATAATCACTAAATACCCCGTTTACCTTCAACTCTAAGAATTTACTATACTACAATGATGTTATCGTTAGGATAAGGTGTGTTAGCAGTAGGTCGAAAACTATAACTATTCGTAAACATGCAATCATTATGATTTGACCTATTGAACTCTGCCACTACTCGGTTTTAATATTATTTCTTAAGATGAAACGTTTAACTTCAGACCAAAGATTATAATATTGCTAACAAAAAAACAATCTTATTTCCTTAAACTATTAGCTCTATGCCTACGATTAAACTATAAGTTTTATGTATATTATTTAGTTTAACCATTCAACTTCTAACACAACAAAATGCTAACCTACATTAATAGTTATTGGTACCAAATTTAGGCTAAAATAACAATGTTACAATCATATAAGACAATGTTTTGCTATCTATAATATATTAAATTAAATAGTAGCATACAAAAATATATGAATGTGCATGTTTTGGGTGTATTATGTTTCAATCCATGATTCTAATTATAAAATATGATCTCAAGTAGAATAAGCCAATGTAAAGTTACATCATTGATTTGTCATTAGATCTAAACATGTTTGATTCTAGACAACCAATTGCTTCTTTGCATGTTGTCTTAATATATTATCTTAAACCATGTATTAAGATCATTGACCAACAAAAATTAGTTATATGAAAGCATTGAAATATGTGTATGTGTGTGTGTGTGTGTTTTTTTTTTAATCTTTTTATAAACATTTTATTTTTAAGTAATTAAATTAAACAAAATTATTAGTAATTCTTGTTTTAATATCATTTATTAGATGTAATTAATAGGGTGCCAATAATTATGTTGTAAAACAACAAAATGTTAAAAGAAAGTTATATTTATTTTGGAGAAAATTACAGGTCTATCCTCTTCTGTTGCTGAAAATGACCCTTGCAAATAATAGGTGTACTTTTTCAGAACATTACCGATGAAACATAGAAATTAGAAGGGGTTTTGCATGATAATCTCTTTCTTTCTGTATAAAATATGTGTCGCAACAGTTTAATTCGATGAAATTTACTGGATTATCAAGTGAAGCATTTGTTATATCTATGAACATTTGGTATTCCTATGACAATTGTTTCGAACTTATTAATGTCTAATTATTGCCTTTTTCAGCAAGGAAGGATTGACATCCTTGGTTGAGTACAATGAGAAGAAGATATTTGAAGTGAGACCGAAGGATATGAAATCTGCAATAACAACCCAAATAGCAGAGGAGACTGAATTGTCTGAAGTTATAGAACTATGAAGCAACGCGTCAAAGACGCTAAATTACCTGAGACTGAGGTCGTGCGCATACTGTGGGATGTTTTGATGGACGCAGTTCAGTGGTCTGCGCCAGGTGAGCTTTATATCTATACAACTTGATTGTATAAATGGCTTGAGCATTTTTTCTTTTCAGGCGGATATTTTTCCCTCCCAAGCATATTTTTGCTCACGATATGGCTAGGCACATGCATCAATGGCGTTTTAAATTTTTATCATCTTGTTATGTTTTGTAAACCTCCCATACAAGTTATTGTTTATTGCTAAAAAAATTAAAAAATTAAAAAAATTAAACATTCTGTTAGACCCACATTAAATTGTATTGTGTTATTGGTTTTCGAAGCAGTAGTTTTTGGTGACTTTGACATAACTACGAATAAATAGTTGGCTATCTCTTTGTAAACGATGACTTAAATTATATCTATCAATAACACTGTTTAATGGTTCAGGTCAAAACATGGGCAGAACTGTTAAACATCTTCTGCACCAACGGAAAACTTGAGCTGGAACTGATGTACAAAGTTCAGATGCAATGCTATGAGGATGCTAAGCTGATGAAGCTCTTTCCAGAGATCATTAGGTCTCTCTATGACCAGGATGTGCTTGCCGAGGACACAGTTCTTTACTGGTTCCGCAAAGGAACAAACCCTAAGGGCAGGTATGGAACTTTATTTTTAAGTCTGCTGTCGCTACATTAAAAGCTCCCTTAAATGTTGGGGTAATCTCTTTGGTTCATGAGTTATACAGTATTCTTATTGCCGGGACTTCTAGTTATCTTTTGTCCAAAAGAGTTTTACATCTACTGAGAAAAAGCCCAGAAATTAGCACTTTAACAAGATGCTCTTTTTGAGCATGATAAATTTTTGAAATATCAATGATGCCCTTACGTTCTTTTAAAAAACTCAACATTTCTCCTGAATTCATGAGAAAATCCCTTTACTACTAGAAGCGCGTTTACATTTACTCAACAAAGCGACCAAAATATCGAAGATACCCATATGTTCTTTTAAAAAACTCTACTTTTTATTCTGAATTTATAAGAAAATCCCTTAACTAGAAGTGTTTTTACATTTACACAACGAAAAACCAAAAATTTATTGAAGATACCCTTAACTTGATAAGAGCTTTACTTCTATTAGCTCTATTATTCTTATAATTTTATCATATTTTTGTAGTTCTGAATAAAGAAAAGCTTTGTGAAGGCTCTAGAGCCGTATCAAAGAGAACAATATATGTTCTCTTAATCAATCATTCTTTGCCTATACTATTATCTTGTTCTACAACTTAAAATAACGACTTGTTTTGTGAAAAATGTTGCAGGCAAACTTTTGTGAAGGCTCTGGAGCCATTTGTGAAGTGGCTGGAAGAAGCAGAAGAAGAGGAATGAAGTTGCAGCCTACGGTGATGACAACGATGACACTCAAATGAAATCTCCTTGTTCTTCTGTTTTCTATTATAATTAGTAAGGAGGCCTATTTGACAATATCAACTCTCATAAAAAAACTCTTCCATTTGGTGTGTGTGGTTGGTTCCTGTTAAACCCAATATGATCAAACCATTCTGGATCATTTTACTATTACTACTACTACCAATAATCGATGTCACTTTGTACTTGTCTTTATCTTCTCTCTCTCATTTTGTGTTTGATTGCTGGAGCCTGAAAGTTTAGTCTCTGTTAGATTTTGCTTGGAATAGAGTTTTCTTGCAAAATTTTATATTTTTTGACATGATCTTTTATTTTTAATGATTAGGCATTAATATTTTTGTGTGCGTTCGTCGTCAAATAATAAGGTAATAATATATTTTATAGTAGGAAAATTTTTATATAAAATGACGTGTCAAGGATGATTTTTCATTAATATGTATGTATTAAGTTGATGATTTGTTGGATATTTTCATTAATGTGTCTTTCGTCGTCCTCACCAACCAGTCATTCTCAGCAGCTTCCAGTTCCAAATCTAGATGACGTGTCGTTTAATTTTGCAATCTCCGTTCTCAGATATTTTATGCGTACGACGCACTGAAAATTAATTCAATATATAACCGACATAGCAAAATCAACGTGAAAGACAAGGCGAGTGAAAATATTTTACTCAAAAGTCAAAAATCGATTCATTTGCGGGTTAATTTTTCCAGCTCCACGAAAGATTATGAAGCATTAAACGGCACTGACATAATTGAAAACTATTAAAAACACCCTGCTGTCATAACACCATTTGCTTTTAACTAAACCAAAGCCAACCCAAAGAAGGGCATTTTAGTCTTTAAAGAACACAAAAACAAAGAAATATCTCTTTTATTTTGTTTTTTTTCTCTTTTTCTTCCTCCCCTCCTAAATGAAAACCCACCTCCACAAATCTTAATCCATGTGAAGCATCTTCAAATGTTTTACAGTAGAAAAGGTTGGTTGTTGTAGGATTGGCCGGATTATGGTTCTAAGACAGATTGAGATTGTTTAGTGGCGATTGTGGTTGTTTTGTTGTTTGGTTGGCTGGATTGTGGTTGTTGTGCGAGGATGCGCAACTAGCTTGGAGCAAGTAGCAACTCGGATCAAATAGCGTAGTGGTGATCAAGTGGGAGCGAGCTGTTGGACACTTATCTTTTAGATCATAGATAAACATTATTCCCTAAAATCAATGAGAAGATCACGGTAACAGTCCCTACAGTTTTGGCCGAATAATCATGCCAAAGATCTTGGGATTATCTCTCGAAAATCATGTAATTATACCTAAAATCTCACTCGTAACGAGTACAATGTTATAGTATATGAACTCCCAAAAATCATTATAAAGGGGTTGAACATTTTTGTAGAGCAGAGATATATCATTGTAAGGCAAAAAAGAAACACATTTAAAATAAGACAACAGTGGACGTATGTTTGTTTCAAACTTGTTGACCCACTTCTTTCTTTATTTTTCCTTACTGATTATACTAATCATACTCACATCTTACTTAATTCTATCAAGATCAATTGAGTATCTTGGTTGTTGCAAATTTATGTAACAATAGTGGCTGAGTTTGTGGGTTTACAGTGTGGTTGAGTTTGTGGGCTGTCCAAACTAAAGAAACCCAGATTATAAGGGACTATTTGCATGTTTTCAAACTTGTAGGAATTCGTATTTCGTACATAGGGATCTTTTTGAAGGTTTCAAAACTTATAGGGCCTCTGTGTGATAAAAAAATTAGCCCCTCTTGTGTAATTTTCCTTTATATAATAGTAAAAGGATAATATAGTCATTCAGTACATTTCATGTGAATTAAGTGAACGGCGTTTAAACGGCGGGGGGTATTCGATAGTTTTTTATTATCGCTGTGTGCCATTCGTACTTTTTAATCTCTCAACGGTTAAATTAACTCTTCATTTAATTCAAAAACAAGAAATCAATTTTTTATTTCTAGAAAAAACAAATGGCGTTCTCTTTAGGAGCTTACGCCACTCCGTTAATGTGCAAACTCGGCGCCGATCTCGACGGGCACGCGCAGGACGCGGCGTTCGTGAGACGCGCCGCCGACTTAGCAGACAAATCGGCAGGGTTCACCTCGCCGCACCCGAACTTCGGCTGCGTGATCGCTACTTCCACCGGCAAGGTCGCGGGAGAGGGATATCTGTACGCGCAGGGGACGAAACCGGCCGAGGTGCTGGCCGTGGAAGCCGGAGGTGAGTGGTGTAGAAGCGCTACCGCGTATCTCAACCTGGAGCCCGGAGATTGCCACGGCGACCACACTGCGGTTTCAGCTCTCGTTCAAGTTTTCACTCATTTATTTCTCATTTTCTTTCATAATTTCATGCTTTTTTTTTTTTTTCCTCTCTATATACTCTGGAAGATTGAGTGGATAGGAGTTCTTCAAATTTTGTCAGGAAAACTTTTAGATTTAATTTTTAAGTCCGTATTATATATTCTGATGTACAAACATATGCATTTTTCTTTTTTGTAAAATTTTGACTTAAAACTTTCCCAAGTTGTTATATGCAAAAGTTGATAAGAGTTCGGCGAGAGACGTCTGTGTTTGTAGTAAAATTTTAGACTTGAATTCTCGCAAATTCTTAAATGCAAGAGTTGATAAGATTTTTCATCAAACATTTGCATTATATATAATCCTGCCTACATTAGAGTAGGCGGCCAAGGTTTTTGGTTTTAATTTGTAAAATTGAAGATTAAAAAAAAACTGTATGAGATGGCTGAACAAACCAACTTTAAGTCATAACATAAAAATGCATTGTGGAAAAATCCGTAGTTCTATTTCTCTGTCTTATTTTTTTTTAAAGTAAAAGTTAAATGTAAAGTACAGACAGGTAAATAAGGGAATATGTGTCTGTGTATATATATATATATAGGAATCGAAAAGTTTGAAGTGGGATGTGGAATGTGATTGGTGATGGATGGTGGTTATGGTTATGAAATCAGTTCTGCATATATATATATATATAGTTTAGGGCTTGTTGGTTTACGACTCTGTATTTGGACATTTTGGAGTCACGTATTCATTGTTGTGTTGGTTGTGGTGAAGGGGAAAATCAGTTGTAGTTTTTTTTTTTAGTTGAGGTTTATTGAAAGTTTGATGATAATCATTATTCTCAAATGATCTGCAAAATTGAGGTCTGTGGAACTATCTGATTTTCTAAAAGGTTTCCATGGTTTTGTTGTAATGTTCATGTTTAATTATTGACATTCTGTACATAGATTAGGCAGGAATTACAAGAGTTGTTGTTGGGATCAGGAATCCTTTACAGCATCTTAGAGGCAATGCTGTACGTGCATTAAGAAGTCAAGGGCTGCAGGTTCATGTTCTTGGAGAGGATTTACAAAGTAAAATTATAGAGGTAGGATTTAATACTAATATTGAAAAATAATATTGTTAATGTGCTGTTTCTTTACCCTTTAACATTTCAAAATATTGTAGGAAGCTCGAAAATCATGCCTACTTGTCAATGCTCCTTTGATCCATAGAGCTACTTCACTAGTTCCCTTTTCTGTTCTCAAGTATGCTATGACCCTTGATGGTGAGTTGTAGGAATTGATGAATTCTTTAGTTGTTTTTCAGGTTCTTGTCTATGTAAATAGGTCTTTAAAGTTAACTTGCTGATGTTCACTTGGATGCTATCAGGGAAAATTGCTGCTAGTAGTGGGCATGCAGCATGGATAAGCAGCAAAAAGTCTAGGGACCGAGTTTTTGAATTGCGGGGTCGAAGTGATGCCATTGTAGTTGGTGGAAATACTGTTCGTAGGGACAGTAAGTATAATCTTAGATACTACATAACTATCATCGTCATCATCGTCAACAAATATGATAGGATTGTTAATGTGTTTGCTTTAATGTTGGTAGATCCTCGGCTAACTGCAAGACATGGAGGTGGGCATATGCCGATGCGAATTGTATTGACGCAATCTCTAAATCTTCCTGAGAAAGCAAACCTTTGGGATGTTTCCGATGTATCTACCATAGTTGTAACACAAAGGGGAGCGAGGAGGGACTTTCAGAAATTTCTTGCATCTGAAGGAGTTGAAGTAGTGGAGTTTGACATCTTGAATCCTAGAGATGTTATGGAATATTTTCATGACCGTGGGTATCTTTCTATTTTGTGGGAGTGTGGAGGAAAACTGGCTGCATCTGCTATCTCATCTGGAGTAATACACAAGGTTTTTTGTTATTCTCTTGAATTTGTATCTTAATTCTATATATGCCACCTTTGAATGACAATTACTGAATAAATATTACTTAAATACATGTTATTATGGAATTTTGTCTTCAACCACTTCTCAGACAGACACCATAGAAAGTAAAGTCAGTATTGCCTTTTAACATCTTGTTTAGTTCTGCTACCATGACTGTCATCTTGATTTGTTTTAACTGGAACTGGATTTCTGGGGGTGACTGCATAGCTGTGCTTCTGCAATATTGGACATATTGCAGTTATCTTTCAATTTTCACATTATCTTTTGATGATGTGAACAGTTTTTGAAATACGTAAGCCTGATGCTTAGAGCTAATTATAGGCTCTGCCACTCTTTATCATGTATTACTTATATCTTTAATTTTAGATCTTCTGACCATTTGTTAGCTATTGCCATTGGCCACTAACAGCCGAATTCAACTGTTGCATCTTTTTTCATCTCTTTTTTTTTTTTCAAAAAAAAAAAAAAAAAAAATTATAATTATGAAACTGTGTAGCTCTGTTCATTTGTGCTTTGATTTTCTACCAATAAAAGGGAGCAAAAGAAAATGACAAAAAGCTGGTTTACTTGTCCTTCTCATGATTCCAATTTCCATATGTGTCAAAATTATATTTCTTGTATATCTCTGTGTGTGCTTTTATGGTTAGGAAGTTATACTCTGATTGTCTGAATCAACCTCTTCTTTCTCTTCTATTTATTTACTTTGCTGGGGAAACTTGGATTAGTTTTAGCCAAAACTGGGACAACTAAGTTATTATTGGCTTTCGTTTATGGTTTCTCATTTTTTTAAATGTACTTACTGCAGGTTTTTGCTTTTGTTGCCCCCAAAATTATTGGAGGAAAAAATGCACCAACTCCGGTGGGTGAGCTTGGGATGGTTGAGATGTCACAGGCATTAGATTTAACTGACGTTTGCTATGAGCAGGTTTGGTGGTAATTTTGCATTTTAAGCTTACTGATAAATTGTTTTTCATTTACTGAAATGAGGAGGGTATTATTATGATTATATTATTTTTAAGGTAATTACATATATATCATCGTAATGGCATAAATCTCCAGCAAGATTTACATAGATACATACTAAGTTACCAAATTTTTTCTCAAGAACGTTCACTACTCTATGGAAGACTGGCACAGTTTCATTGCTTAAGTCCAATTCCCAATGGCACTTTCAGGTTGGACCTGACATGCTCGTTAGTGGATTTCTTCAGCCCGTACCAGACCTAACTCCTGTCATCCCATCTGTGGATGAAACTTTTGCAATTGATCCTTCCGTCACTCCTTACGAATCAAGCATCATATCCTTCTACAAGACATGGGATCCTTATGGTTCTTTTTCGAATTTTTCTCCACATCCAATTCAAATGCCAGATAATGGTGTTGATTACGTCACTTGGTCAGGTGTAGAACATTACTATCAGGTAGCTGCCTTTTCCTAGTTTAATTCATTTCCATTGCCAAATCTGTCAATATTGTGCCGAATATCTTTTGAACTTTTAGGCGCAGAAGTTTGTTGGTGTGAATGACCCTGCAGCACTAGATTGTATTGAAAAAATAAAAGCTGTGAGAAGTCCAGAGGAAGCAGCAAGAATAGGAAGGTGGATGCAGAGGCACCGTCCTGATCTGGTATGTTCATCTGTACGATAACTTTTACATATGCGTGTCTAGTTTTTCTTCTGTTTTGAACAGACTCCTGGGTAGGGTTGGCAATTTCCAGGGACAGGGCTAGGGACCTTCATCTCCAATCCCGGAACTTTTGGAGCAGGGATGGGGCAAGTATCCCCAGATTTTTTATTTATTTAATTTTTTTAATGAATATTAATTATAATTAACTTTATATATTTAATATATTATACATTTTTACCGGGGACATGGCTGAGTTTTGCGGCTTTCCACCCCGCAACCCCAGACTTTTCTGGGGATTCCCTGCCCTGCAAGACCAGGATTTTTCTGCCATCCCTACTTCTGAGGATGAAATCTTAGAAAAACAAAATGGAGCATTAGAGATAATATTTTTACCGAGTTTCTGGGAGCTAACACCGTTGTGCCATGCACAGGTGAGAAGTGATTGGGAAAGTGTGAAGATAGATGTTATGTACAAGGCACTGAAATGCAAATTCTCAATTTATCCTCATTTGAACTCCATGCTTCTCTCAACTGCTGGCTCCATTCTTGTTGAAGCTTCACCACATGATCTTTTCTGGGGTGGCGGCCGTGAGGGCGAAGGCCTAAACTATCTGGGCAGGCTGCTGATGCAGTTGAGATCAGAGTTTCTCGGTGAGTTTTCTTCATCGACCGAAGAAATCAATTGATTAATGACCGATATAAACATCTTTCATTGTTTTTTTGTTATCGAATAATACTATGTATCTCAAGTTTGTATCCCGATTTTTAGATCTCAGATGATTCTAGATACGTATGTCGGATATGTAAAACATCATTTCATAATCAAAATTTTGTCGTAATTTGTTCAAGAATGGATATAATGCAACAATGGATCATTTTGATAGTGTAAATGGTGATAATCCTTTTTACGTAATACTAGTGGTATGCTCAAATTAAACAAATCCCGTAGGAGGTATATGAAATAAACTAAAAAGTAATTAGTGCGAAATATTTTTATATTTGTTTATTTTTTCAAAAATCTAAATTGTCTTTAATAAAAGATTTTAAAGGGAAGACAGCAGACACTTCCTAAAACAAAATAAAACAGACCGACGCTCAGGTAAGGTTTTGTGAAAAAAAAAAAAAAAAAAATTATGATAATAACTTAATTTTACAAGTAAAAAAAATCTCATAATCCTATTAAATGATACAAAACCTATATAAATAAATAAATGTTTAAATTACAATTTATATAAAACAAACATTATTGTTAAAATTCACCATTTCTTTTTTCCATTCTGACCTGTTTTTTCATTTATTAAAATTCCTTGAATCCAAAACAGCTTTATTTCGCTTTTGGACAATCTTGAAATAAGTTTAATTCATAATATTGGCACTAGACCCGGTAAAGCATGTACTGTACCCATGGGTCTATCCAAACCCGTATCTATGCATTTTAAGCGGGTATAGGTTAATATATTTAAGACCGTGGCAATAATATCCGTACCTCGTCCACCCATTTTTTTGCAGGTGAATTGGGTATATTTGCAGTAACAAAAAGATATTACTATTCATTTTAATAATATGTTTAATATTCTTATCAGGTTTATTTAAAAATAGATTTTTGTTATATTAAAATATGAATTTAGTAATTAATTAGTTCATTTTAATAAATATTATTAAATCATGTAATAGCGCTAATTAATGCGAGTAATTAATTAGTTGACTTGAGTCAATTTCGGTTTGCCTTTATCAAGTCTTCCCCTCTTTTATCAACTTCCCAATATAAAGAGATGAGACTTTGAACCAATTAATATTTGATAGGAGAAAAGCAAAATGAGATTTCTTTTTTCAAATATATCGTCAATATATTAAAATCAAACAATAAAGCAAGAACTAGATGGAAATTCGATGGGACTGTCTTAGAAAATGAAGGTTACGTATAAAAAGAAAATAGTTATGGAAATTTCGTAACATTAGTCCATGCAGAAAGTATGCATAAACATAAAACAGGTAACTTCACATAAGTTACACCAAATCTACCCAAGGGTGACCCATGAGTCCACCCGTACCTACAAGGGTCGAGTACGAGTTTTATATTTCATTACCAATTTAGAACTCCAACCCGTTGTACCCGTACTCATTTTGACCCAACCCGTACCCACCGAACCCAGTCATGCCGTCTTACTTCTACTACAAGAGATCAAACCAATTAACAGGTTATCGTACATTGTGGATGTATGTAATATGCAATCGCCTGCAGAAAATTGGCTCACTATCCTATTTAATGTTTATAGTACATCTTCTATATAGTTTTTAAGAATCCCAAGGTTGTATTCAATCAGTAGATGATGAAATGAGATGTCGAAGGATATCATCCCTTGGGACATGATAACTGATATACAAATTGGGATGTATAACATTATTTGTTATTTATTTAGTTTGTTGTCTTTTTTGTCTCAGGAACCGTGAGAGAAATACTTGAGGAAAAGACGTGTTTGACAAAAGAAACGGACCAATATGGGTGGACTCCACTTCATTATGCTGCATATTACAATCTTCCTTTAAATACACAAGTCTTATTAGAATTTGATGAATCTGCCGCATTCATAGCTGACAGGGATCTTAATATGACACCTCTTCATGGGGCAAGCAGCCAAGGGTATCTAAAGGTAATAGAAAAAAAATTCTTTTTCATTCTCCACTAAGTTATGAACTGGTGGATGCTAGAGGTTGGAATTTCCTTCACTTTGCTATGGTGAGTTTACAAGAATACTATGTGGATGTTCTCCTAAAAAATCCACTAGTTAAGAATCTTATACATCAGAAGGATGCCAAGGGGAACACTCCTCTCCATGTTCTTGCAGCTTCAAAACGATATAATTCATTCGACCTCAGTATCAACTTGAAGCATAAAAGCAACCTTCAGGTTATCAACGGGCAAAATATTAGTGTTGAACATATATTACGCTATGGCTTTCCAGAGCTTGAGGTAATAGTCGGCGTCTTCACTTAGTATTAGTACATAGAATCGTTCTCTAATGCAAACGTCTAGATTTTTTCAAAATCCAGATCACGTCTACTGGTACCGGTAAAAAGAAAACTGGATTATGAGAAAATGCGATGGTATGCATTTGAGGATTTTTGTTAATGTATATGTATGCAATGCAATTTTGTGACTTGAAATTGTAATTTTCCTTGATTTAATTAATTTAATTATTTATTTTTTTTTCATTGATTTATTTATCAAAAACAGCAAGAAATTCAAGCATTGACCCAAGAGGTTTGCAATGGACAACGTCCACGAGGTGTTATCTGCAGAAGAAGATATTGTTAGACTTTTTACAATATGGCCCTACACTTCTCATATAATTACATTTTGGTCCCTATTGATGTGGTCATACGGTTGTGTCTCTTGAGCAGTTGTCTTTGATGGAAAGACAACTGCATAAGAAAGAGACTTTACAGGTCCCCATTAGACGCAATTTTATTTTGATTCCCAAAACCATCACCCAAAATTGCAGTCAGTGGAAGATCCTGTAATTTATAAAGGAGCAAGAAGATCAAAGAACAATTGCTATGGCTGGAGGTTTGTCATTTACTTCCGCATATATTCCATGGAGATTTTATATTGAAATTGATTGTATTATCAATGAATATTGGAATATAAATGTGTTTTACAGATATCCCCTTAGGGATTTTATATTTGAACCGGAAAAAGCAAGACATCCGCATTTGGTAGTGGCTGCACTCATAGCAACAGTAACCTTTGCGGCAGCTTTCACCATGCCTGGTGGTTACCAAAGCGAAAAAGGTCAGAATGAAGGTACTGCAATCCTAAGTAGAAAGTCAGCTTTTCAAGCATTTATTATAACGGATGCCATCGCCATGATCCTCTCTCTTTCTGCTGTCCTTGTCCACTTTATCATGTCGGTTAAGCTTTTCCAAAACTTAGTCTCTCTTCTTGATTGCATATTACCTTACCATTTTTGCCATGGGAGCAATGGTGCTTGCTTTCGTTACAGGCACTTTTGCTGTTTTGGCAGCCTCTTTAAGGCTTGGTATTGCCATTTGTTGTATTTGCTTAAGCTTCTCCTTCCTTGTGTGCTGCAAAGTATTCAAATTAACCAACGACGAGGTGTTGAAAATATGGGGCCAGGTCACTCCTTAGTGGATTAAGGCCCAAAAAGTGAAAAGACGCTTGAAATCTTTCACTTGCAGCATTTGACCGACGCTTAATATAACTTCTCTACAATGGTAATTTCAATTTAGACCAATTATAAATAAGAATAAATTTTATATTATAATAAATTATAATTTTTTTAGATCCCGTCTTAAGGAACTTATATCTACATAATAATAATTATATATATATATATTACAAAAATATATGTTATATTACATTAAAAGTTTAAGATGAAATAAAATATTTATCTAAAGTTATTGACAATGATTTATACTATAGAGTTATTGTCATATCTTTTATCTTGTGGGTTCATAATAAGTCGCTAACATGGACACCTTCTTATTAAAGCCAAAATATTTTTAGCTTCTCAATTATGTTTAGAGCTTTTTGACATAAAACTTTTGGTATTTCCTTACTATCATCCTCAAGATTATCTCCTTCCTCTCATTGTCTAATTATAGTAATGTTTTTTCTTCAATTAAAACATACATGACGTGTTACTCATTTGGATGATTGAGGAACACATTAATATCTATTTGATCAGTGTAGTAAAGTTGTCAAATCTAATCACTCAATTTTACAATAACTATTTTATATCTATTTTCGTACTATCCTAATAATATTAAAACAATAAATTGAAATCCTAATACTACTAAAACATAAATGGAAATCCTAATACTACTAAAACATGAATTATAAAATAAGAAATTTTTTTAAATAAAAAAATAATTATTATAACTACACCTCTATTAAGTTATAATATCTTTATAATAATAAATTTAGTTAATTCTGACATTATGACTATAGAAAGGTTTTATTGTATAAGGAAAAATTAGAAGCAGCAGTAGCAGCAGCGCGAGAGAGCAAGAGAGGAAGAAGAAAAATTGGGTTTTTGGAAAACTGTGATAGGTTCATCAAACTACTGATTGGCTATTGAATTGTGGTCCGATTGAGATTAATTTTTTCCAGCATGTTTATGACTTGTGGTTATTCAATCTGAATAGTTGGATTGTCAATAGGAGCTCCCTAAACCAGATTTTTCATCCGTGAACAGTAACCTCATTTGTGTGAGATTTTTCCTTGATCTCTTTCAAAGTTTCTTTGTAGTACCAAGCTTTTATTCTTGATGATTGCGTTGATGTATGCCTCTAGTTCTAGCTAGAGAAGAACTTTGTATACCCGTTATTTGATTAATAGTGGAGTTGTTGAGTGGATTTTAGTCCCATGGTTTTTTACTCCTTACATGGGAGAGGTTTTTCCACGTTAAAATTGGCTTGTGTTTGTGTGTGATTGGGTTGTGATATTTGAGTTCCTATATTGCTTTACATTATTGTTTCTTATTAGATTTACACAAGAGAAGGGAGAAAATTATTCCGTTGTACTGTCCATTATTATTAAAGTTGTTGTTATTTCCCCCATCAGAAAAATCGGACACTCCCGACAATAAACCCCGAGAAATGGTTCAGCAAATTAACATGCATAAGATAGCTTCCAAGTTGAACATTCTCATGTCTTTTAGGTGTAGACGTTCGAAGTTCTGTAAAAATTCTAGCTTCGTGTCAATAAATACTAAAAGACAATGTTACAATTTTTAAGACAAAAAGAACTGGACTGAATTTTTGTCTTTAGTGTCAGTTGATGTCAATAATTTTTATTTTATTTTAGCGGTAGATAGTATCAG